ATGTCAATATTGGTAAAATATTTCTCCTGATTTTTGAGTGAAAGTGGTGATTTGTCTTTTGAAAGAATTTGTTTTGTGAGATGGGAAAAACTTCTTTAAAAACTGTTGTTGTATTTCATCTCAATCACTAATGGATCCTGGTCTCAAATTGTATAGCCATATTTTAGCTTTATCTTTTAATGAAAAATATAAAAAGCTTTAATCTGATGGTGTTCATGCTACAATTTAAGTCATTATAGGTGTTACAGACCTCCTCAAATTCCCTTAAATGCAAATATAGATTTTCTAAATCTAAGCCATGAAAGGAAGGTAAAAATTGAATAATGCTTGGCTTAAAATTAAAATGAGATGCATCAGGAGGGAAAACTATGCATGATGGTGCACTTGTTCTTGTAAGATTCATGTGGTCTCTAAGTGTTCTAATACAGTTATTCTCATTATAAAGTGATTGATTATCTTCTTCGGCCATATTTTCTGAAAATGAAGAGGATACCCTACAAAGTCTATCACTTAATGTATGTGACCACGCTCTCATGCACGTGTAGGAATAGAATAAAAGGAAGAAGAAAACAAAGAAAAGAGAAACAAAATAAAAGAAACAAAGTTACATACAAGAAAAGTGAAAAGAGAAAATAAAATAAATATTATAATTTGTATAATAACTTACCTCCCCGGCAACGACGCCAAAAACTTGACACGACCAAAAGATTGATGTCTTCTCCTAAATATAGAAGTGTCGAAGTAATAAATAACCCGACAAGACCGAGATCGAACCATAGGGAGGTTAATTGTATAAATCATAGATAACAATAACACAACAACAATAATAATAATAACAACAATAAAAACAATAATAACAATAATAGTAGTAGTTGTTGTAGTAGTAGTAAAGAAAAAGAAGAAGAAGAAGAAGATGAGAACTTTTAGATGGAATATTAATGTAAGGATTAAACAATGATAATAACAAATGTTAAGGTCAGAGGTTCCACTAATGGTATGTCAAACAAGTATAGTATAAATTCTTATTATTCAATTGAAAACCATACACAAAGGAGGTTTCAATCAAATTATAAATTGTTAACATGATCATATTAGTTATCTTATTCGATTAATGCTAATACTTGTAAATCTCATTAGACATTCATGATTATAACTTATGTTAACAACAAATCAAGTTCCTTTCATAGCTCAAGTGTCGGTTATACCATATAGTATGGGCTATGAGAGTGCCAAGTATTTGTTGTACCAAGTGTTATACAATATAAATCTAGATTGGTCATTTAACAAGCAAAGTATTAAAGAGTGAACAAGATAACAAATACAAAACATGTTAGTATCAAACATTAAAGTCTATATTGAGTTTACATTATACTTATTCTTACACCATTAGTATAACCTTTTCACCTTGACATAATAAACTTGCCTAAACATAATGAAAGAAAGAAAAATAAATAAATAAGATAAGAACATAAATAAGATAAAAGTTAACTAAGTAAATGAATGGAAATGAAAGGTATAAACTTGATATTAATGCAAGCAAAGCAGAAACATTACAAAAAATACAAAAAGAGAAAGCAAAAGCATGATCTTGATCTGGAAACTAAGATGTCTAAAAGCATGCCAAATGCCTCCTTTTATAGGCCACAATTAGAAACTATTGATTTGATGACTAATTGATGAATGGGTGACCAACTCTTGACTTCGTAACAATCCTTATCTTCTCTTGTCTGGCCAAAACATCATTGATAACGTCAAAATTGAAACAACTTGAAAACATGGAAATTGTAGGAAATTGTCTCAGCTTTCTTGAAAACAATTGAGGTCATTTGGACTTCTAGGACTCTAAATATGGGCCAAACACTGAACAATGTCGAGCTGGAGAACAGATTCGAACTTCTTTGTTATTGCTCCAATTTGGACTTGAAAATGGTATTTTTAAATTTAAGATCCATATGAAAGTTGTAGGCCTTTGTCTTACCTTTTCATCCATATAAAGTAGATCTAAATCCGAGATCTACAACTCTAGATATGACCCAATTACCAAATAGAGTTCTAGTTTGGACTGCACTAGCATCTTTTTTCGAAGTTTGGCTATCTCTTTGTCCTTTCAATTTTAGTTCTTAAATTCATCAATCAATCCTTTCATTTTATGTGATAGGCCTGCATTTAAAACAAACATTTACTATAAATTAAAGGTATCTTATATTATTAGATATATTATTATAAAACATACTTTAGTTAAGTTATTAATATTTCAAGTGCAAAATGATGATATAAAACCTTGATAAAAAATGCACTTTTAAGTATTAATCATGTGATCACAAAATTTATATTAATTCCTTATGTCCTACCTTCCTTCACTCTTAGCCAAATTTATACGTTTTTGGGTAATGCCTAAGTGGTTTGATTTTTTTTTAGTGTTGATTGAAAGTTTGTTTGTGTTTAGATGGGTGGCTTAATGGGTTATGGTAGCGCTTTGGGTTTTAGCCGAATCTGATGGTCTTCTATCCCCTGGTTCCTCACCTTGATTTTCTCTCTATAATCTCATGCTCACCTTTTAGCTTTATTTGATCACCTTACACTTGTTTGGGTGAAAAAGGTATAACAGTGATGGGTTTTTTATCTTTTACAATAGTATGCCTATTTTTATCCCTGTTATAAATTATTTTTCTATCATATTGTCATGGTCTCTCTAATAAGATGTAACTTGTTTGCATTGATACTGATTGTGCATCAAAAGTGTCATTAAGTCTCTTATTTTACATATGTATTTATTGTTTTTATTTGGTTGTTTTTATAATAATTGATGTGTTTTTTAGTAATGAAGTTTGTTTTAATGTTTCGATAGGTTTTTGGAGCTTAAATGAATTAATTCACAAAATTCAACGTCGGAATTCAGAACAAAGAATTGAAGAGACATTTAGTTGAAGATTGAAGCAAATCTTGGTTCAAATAAGTGCTCCAAATTTGTCCCAAAAATCAATTCTATTCCAATTCTAGAAAAGAATATCATATGATTTATTTCAAGCCCAAACTTGCCTTATGTTGTGTGCAAACTTCAACCATTAAACACTCAAGGTTTCAATGTCAATCTTAGCCCAAATAATAAGTACATTTGTATACTTATTTGATGCTCAAATTCAGCCCAAAATTCAGCCCAAAATCAGCCCCAAATTAGCCCTAAATCAACCCCAAATCAACCTTCAAATCAACCCAAACACAATCCATGATCTTACATGTCCACACAACAAATAACAATTGATTTATTTTGGGCAATCCATTGATCCAAGAAGGCAAGCACATGGATGGAAAGCTGGAGGGGATATTTTAACATTATTTTGGGTCAAAAAGAAGAAGGAGACACCTCATAAATGAGGAAGAAAAACGTGCACCAAAGTAGTTGTAAAGCTGTCTTGATTTGATTTTTCAGAACACCTTTCGGTGTTTTGCCCATAACTTTTGACTCAGGTGTCCAAATGAGCTGTTCTTTAATGATCTGGAAAGGTGACAGAATTGCCTATAAATATGTCTCTAATAGACTTCTCCAAAAAAAGCTTCTAAGAGGGTCGAATTGCTGTCCAAAGTTAGAGTCAGATTTGTGTCCGAATTTTTTCTGAAATTGTATTGTGTTCTTCTTTATAGATTTCGGTTCTTTAGTTTGTAAAACTTATTTTTTCAGTTGGATTTAAGTTCTTTCATGTTTATTGAAGTGTTCTTATATATAATCATGGTTGGCTAAACTCTTTCTTGGATCCAAATCAAGGATAATGGTGATTGAGGTGAGTTCTTTAGGATATGAATGAATCTTAATGTTTATCTTCTTATTTTCTTCATGAATGATTTATTATTGTAAAGAAATTTTAGAAATCATTTAGGTAATGTTATAATCTTGAATTTTTATGCACAAACTTTAGTTTTGGTATAGAGATTGCTTGATTCAATGTCTTACTTAATATGAAAGTACTTGTTCATTCTTAAACAATAATCAATCTTCATCTTTCTAATCTTCATTGTAATATCTTCCGATATAATATCACCATCGTTGAGATTAGGTTGAGTTATCTTATATATGTTGAAGAAATCACCAATACATCACCATTAAAATTGATTTGGACCAAGACTTACTTTTCTTGTCATTTAAAATCTATTTACATTTTTTTTATCTTTGAAAACAAATCCATCAATTATTTTCAACCAAGTTATTGTTAATTTAATTTCTCTTGAGTTTTTTTTTGTTACTTAGCTTAATTTCCAGATCTAGCTCTCTGTGGATATGACCTCGATCTTACCGAGTTAATTGCTACATCGCACACTCGTGCACTTGCGAGTTAATGATACTACATCACACAAAACTTTATTAACATACTTTTTAATCGAAAATGAAATTACAACCTGCTTAGTCAATTTTACTTCATTACTATCATTCAACCATTGCATTCTATAAGGTCTAGTATGCTTAGCAATACATAAATTTAGTTTAGTAATAAAAATAATGCTAGCCACATTAGCACATTTTTCAATATCTATAATTAAACAACACATCTTATTTTATATATAGTATTTTGTATAAAAAATGTATTCCTTTTCCTATCATTTTTATCTTTCTTGATCTAAACCTAAAGTGTACATCCTATAACTATAGTCCTTAGTTAAAAATATTAACTCATCTTCTTCTTTATCATCCAATGATGACATGTTTTCATATTTAAATTTATCATTTTCATATTATACCTCTCTACTGTCTTTCATTATCATTATTCTCTTGTTTGAATACCCTAAAATATAATATTTGTTCTCTTAACACCTAAAACACTTAACATCACGAGTTCATTTAGATTGTGATATAATTGTTAACCGAATTGACTGCCACTTGAAGGGAATTTATCTGTCTACAAACTACACGACTTTTCCAGTTTAACAACGAACCCCGTGTTATTCACTTTCTTTGCCTTGACAATTGTAACAACGGACAGGCAGATAGAACTAATAAAAGAAAGGACAGAAAAGAAAAGAAATGAAAAAGGCAAAATCTACTGCTGAATTTGCTACTAATAATAACAGCATTGCCTTCGTTTTCGGTTGACAGAGAAAATTTCAGCTCTCAAAAGGGCTTCTAATAATAATAATAATAGGTAAGCCTCCAACACCTCCTCCTTTGTGTATCATCTTGAGAAAATCGAGGCTTATTGTTTTTTTAGAAGAAGATTAAATCGTTCTTGTGTGTTGTGCAATTTAGACTTCTTGTCGTCAAATAATAGTCTCCCAGACAAAACTCTTTCCTTGCATACTACTTGTTTTTGTCAAATTTCTCTTTCTTTTGTTTCTTTTCTTGTGTTTTTTCTTAGCAGATATGCCTGAAAAGGGAGAGAACCAATCATGGCTTTTTTACCGTTCATACTTTGTGCTTCAATGGCGTCTTCACATGCTCGCAGCTTTTGTTTTCCTTGTCATGGTTGTTCTTTGTAGCATGGATGGCGGTACCATTAAAAGCGTTGTGGAATCAAGAAGGTTCACCAAGCAATATTTGACCATTATTCCTCACACACAACACCCTCTCACAAATCTAAATGAGCAGAAGCAGCAGCAGCAGCAGCAGCAGCAACAAACCCTTCAAAACTTCTCTACAATCACAAAGAACGTCACAGCAGACACCACATTAGCCCAAGAGACCAACAACAATAATACCAGTGCCCCTCCTAGATTTAACATGGTACTAAACAACGACAAGAATGTTTCTTTTCCTCAGAATCATTCAGATGGAGTTTTGGAGAATCCAGCCCCAGGAAGGCATCAATCAGGTGGTAATGTGAAGTGGGTATTAACTGAATTGGAGCCAAACTTGACTGCATATCTTCTTTCAAGATGGTTAGCCTCCGGAGGGGAGCCTTGTAGAGAGTCACGTACAGTGGAGATCGTGATTCCTGGATTGGATGATAAAGATTCGATTGAGTTGACAGCTGGTGATCGTCATGAATTTGGTTTTCAAGCACTGGATGAGTCCAAGAATCTTGTTTGTTTAGGTGGAGATTATTTTGAGACCGATCTTTCAGGGGAGACATGGAAATCAAGGCCTTTAGTCAGAGATTTTGGAAATGGGTCTTACTCTATTTCGCTTCAAGTTCATCCTGATTTTGCTGGTGATTATAATCTTACTGTTATTTTGCTCTATAGGCATTTTGAAGGTCTTAAATTTTCACCGTGGAGATTTGCGTTTGATAAACAATTGCGTAAGTTTCAAATCAAGTTTGTTAAAGGTCACACTCAATTGCCAAAGATTAAAACTTGTCAAAAATCTGATTTCATTAGAGATCTTTGGTTAGGAAGGTGGACTAGGTATGGTAAAAATGATGGCTGTCAAATTAGTAATGATGGCCGTTACCGCTGTCTCGCGCCAGATTTTCCATGCCAAAGTCCTTGGTGTAGTGGTTCTTTAGGGATGTTAGAGAGTAATGGCTGGGTGTATTCTAGTCATTGTTCATTTAGGCTGTTTTCAGCTGATTCTTCTTGGAATTGCTTGAAGAATCGGTGGATTTTCTTTTGGGGTGATTCAAATCATGTTGATACTATAAGAAACATGCTCAATTTTGTGTTGGATTTGCCTCAAATACCATCAGTTCCTAGACGGTTTGATATGAACTTTTCAAACCCGAATGATGCTTCTCAGACTGTTCGGATTACTAGCATTTTCAATGGTCATTGGAATGAAACACTGAATTATGAAGGATTTAATTCCTTGGCAGATGAAGGATTTAGGGATTTGTTGAAGAAGTACTTCTCAGAGGACACGTTGCCAGACACTATAATCATGAATTCAGGTTTACATGATGGTGTGCATTGGCGAAATTTGAGATCATATATGGCGGGAGCTGACTATGCAGCATCATTCTGGAAAGAAGTTATGGATTCAGTGAGGCGGAGAGGTTTGGCAGTTCCACTCATCTTTTACCGGACAACGGTGGCCACCGGTGGGTATGCAAGGACTCTGCAATTTAATCCGAACAAGATGGAGGTATATAATTGGGTTGCTTTGGAGAAATTTAGGCAAGCTGGGTTGGTTACTGGAGTGATAGATGACTTCGATATGACTTTTCCATGGCATTTTGACAATCGTTGCAATGACGGAGTACACTATGGCAGAGGTCCAGCTAAGATGAAGTGGAGGGATGGTGAAATTGGCCACCAGTATTTTGTCGACCTCATGTTGGCTCATGTGCTGCTCAATGCTCTGTGTTCAAAATAGCAAGTGAAGGAGGTGGTTGATTTATTCTTTTTGGCTGTCTATAAACAGTGAGGAGCACTGTTGCCAGCTTTGCAGAACTAGTCAGTGCAAGGAGTTGCAGGCAAAGCTAAAAATTTATGTTGATATGGGCTGCGGGCATTTGGAGGTAAATTCAAGACGTAGTGATTTTCACATGTTGGTTCACGCCACACTTTCAGTTAGGATTGGGATTCTTTATTTGTTTATAGATGCAATGTTGTACAAAGGTATATATTATGAGATGCTGGAAATTTTGAAAGACAATAGCTATAGAATCTATTATCATGATCTACTGTAATTATTGTTAATTATAATTACAATAATTAAGATCAAACACAAAAAAAAAAATTAGAATTCTGAATAATATGTATATTATGAATACTTAGACTTAATCTAAATACAAATAAAGTATATATAGATTAAACTGAAAGTACTATCTTACCCTTAATAAATAAGACTACATAAATATTATTTAACATCTCCTTCAAACTCACGATGCTTAGTTTGCCAACCAGAAAACAAAAACGAGAGATGGAATGTGCTTTGGTAAAGAAATCTGTAATATGCAAGGAAGAAGGAACAAAAGGCAAAGTAATGGTGTCATACTTGAGATGATGATGAGTAAGGTGACAATCGATCTCAATGTGCTTAGTTCGCTCATGAAAAATCGAGTTATGAGCAATCTGAATAGAACTCTGGTTGTCACAATACATAGGAGTAGGATGAGAAAAGAAAACTCTCATATCAGCAAGTAACCAACGTAACCAAACAATCTCTTTGGTAGTAGATGTCATGGCACGATATTCTGTTTTGGTGGATGATTGAGAAACAATAGATTGTTTCTTGCTTTTCCAAGAAATAAGAGAATCACCTAAAAAGATACAAAACCTGGTAACAAACTTGCGATCTGTAGGATCACTACCATGATCAGCACTAGAGTATGCACGCAATTCCAAGGAAGATGTGGATGAAAGTAAAAGACTCTGAAAAACTATACCCTGAAGATATCGCAAAATACGAAGAACAGCTGCCTAGTGAACAATAGTAGGAGAAGTAGCAAACTGACTAATAACATGAACAACATATGCAATATCTGGACGAGTAATGGTGAGATATACCAAACTTCCAACAATAGTGCGGTATAAAGTAGGATCTATCAAAGGTAAACCATCAAAAGAAGAGTCCCTTGCGTTAACCTCAATGGGAGTATCTACAGTCTTGTTATCAGTAAGTCTAGCCCACTCAAGAATATCTACAACATATTTCGACTGAGAAAGAAGGTAACCTCTAGACGAGTATGCTACCTCAATACCTAGGAAATATCGAAGATAGCCTAAATCTTTCATTTCAAATCATCTAGCCAACTCTGTCTTCAAAACTGAAATACCATCAATGTCATCACCAATAATAATCATGGAAATACCATCAATGTCATCACCAATAATAATCATGTTATCAACATATATGATAGAATGATACGACCTACATCAGTGCACTTAATAAAAAGAGTAGAATCATGACTGCTAGAAACAAAGCCAAGAGATGAGATCACAATAGAGAATTTCTCAAACCAAGCATAGGGTGCTTGCTTGAGACCATATAATGCTTTCTTAAGCTTACAAACATATCCAGAGTCATGTGAAATACCAGGAGAGGGTGCCATGTAAACTTCTTCTTGAAGATCTCCACTCAAGAAGGCATTTTTAACATCAAGCTGAGAAATATGTCACTTGACGAATCGAAGCTACGGCAATAAGAGTATGAATAGTAGTATTTTTGCAACCGGGGCAAATGTCTCCTCATAATCCATACCATACTATTGAGAATATCCTTTTGCAACCAGCCTAGCTTTGTATCGCTCAATAGACCCATCAGAATTACTTTTGGTCTTATTTACCCAACGACAACCAACAACACTCTTACCAGGAGGTAGAGGAACCAGATCCCAAGTATCTGTCTTATGCAAAGTAGAAAGTTTCTCATCCATAGCTTGCTGCCAAAGTGGATCAAGAATTGCTTCTTTATAGGAAGAGGGCTTAAAGAGACAATGAATAGAAGCTAAAAAGGAAGTAAATGATGAAGAATAACAAGAATAAGCAAAATCTAGTAGTTTTATGGACTTACAAATGTGGATGGACTGACGTAGAGGTGGATCCATAATCTCAGATGAAGCTTGAGGGGCTGTAGATGAGAATGGAGCTTCAGGTGTGCTAGAGAGTAAAGTACCAGTATCTGCAGAGTTATGAGTACAAATTAATCGAACATGGGGAGAGGTATCATTACTGGAATCCTCAGAAAAAGGGATCTATATGAATAATATCAGATTTAGTCATGTTATGAGTAGTGGATTGAATAGAAAAGAAAGATATATGCTCAAGAAAGACAACATGACGAGACATAAAGTTTCTGAGTTATTGGATTAAAACAACAATACCCCTTTTTACCTTCACCATAACCCAAAAAGACACAAATTGCGGATCGAGAGGATAACTTACTACGTTCTACATGAGGACAAAGAACGAAACAAGTACAATCAAAGACTCTAAATGAGGAATAATTAAGGACATACCCATATAACTTTTCAAAAGGAGATAGACCCGAACTATGAGAAGATGGAATTGTATTAATCAAACTTACAGCAGTAAGAAAAGCTTCTCCCTAAAACTCATTAGGAACAAAAGCAGACAATAACAAAGAACGAGCAGTTTCGATAATATGTCTATGTTTTCTTTCAGCAACACCATTTTGCTCAAGAGTATCTGTATATGAAATTTGGTGGATGGTTTCATCTAAGGCAAACAATTGGCAAAATTTATTAGAGGTGTATTCCCCACCTTAATCACACCTAAAGCATTTAATCACAACAGAATGTTAAGTTTTGATAAGAGCTCGAAAAGCTGCATATATCTCAAAAGAATTTAGAACGATGTTTCATTAAATAAACCCAACAATAACGAGTATGATCATCAATAAAAAAGACATAATATCGAGACCCTCCTTTTGTGGCAATAGGAGAAGGTCTTTATACATCAGAATGAATCAAATCAAATGGTAAAGAAGAAACAGAAATACTTTGATTAAAAGGTCAAGCAGAAAATTTTGCTAGTTTACATCCACTACAATTAGAAATGTCACAAGTTTTTAAATTTCCTAAAGCTCCTGTGGATGCCAAAAATCTCAAACGAGAAGATGAAACATGACCTAGATGGGAATGCCATAAATAAAAACTAGAAGATGAAACACTCAAATGAAAGGAAGACAAATTAATAGTAGTAGTAGTAGCAGCGGCAGGAGCAACTGGCACTTTTAACTCATCCAAAATATATAGTCCATTCTCCCTACGGCCTGTCCCAATCAGCTTCTAAGACTGTAGATCCTGCACACAACAAAAAGAACAAGAAAACATGACTAAATAATCACTAGAATCACATATTTGACCAACAGACGCAAGATTCAATTTGAGTTTTAGAATAAGATAAACATTAGGGAGAGACAAGTGAGTGTGACAACAGAACCAATACCTACTAAGGGCATAGGAGTGCCATCAGCAGTCATAACAGGAATGAAGGACAAAGAGGACACAAAGGTAAAAGATGAGGAATCTAGAGACATATGATGGGAAGCACCAAAATCCAAGACCCATTTAGAGTGTGACATACTGTGGAACTATGAGGCAACTGACCTATGAAAAAAAAAGTGGACATTGCTTATGGCTGCAAGGAGAGAAACTTCTGAAATTGCTTAGCTAAAGTTTTGGGATCGGTAATAGAGCCTGGGGAAGCTACTGCTGCAGTATTATGGTGTGATGGTTTATAACCCTAAGGTGGTCTATGAGCAATAGGTTATGACTGACTGCCAGACTTCCAAGCTTGATTCTGTTATCTCAACTTAGGGCACTAAGCCTTCCAATGACCTTTCTGCTTATAGAAACTGCACTCATCAAAGCCAACCCTTGTGTAAGGTTTGTTCTAATGATTAGAGAATGGCTTAGAAGGTACTGCTAGTACTGAAGGATTTGAAGCAGAAAAAATTCCCTTTTCAGAATAAGATTGAAGACGTATTTCTTTAGCCAATAACTCACTCATAACAGAGTCAACAGAAGGCAATGGAGAACGATGCAGAATTGAACCCCTAAGTCCTTCGAAGTCACTGCAAAGTGCTGTTAAAAACTGTACCAATCGTTGCTGCTCTCTATGCTCAATATAGGCAACACATGCCTTTAATTTTGTCGATTCTGTAAGAGCCAATTGATCCCAAAGATCTGTCATAGCATAATAAAACTCTTGAATACTCATATTCTTCTGATGTAGAGCTCATAGATCATTTTCTAATTGATACTGTTTTGCAAAATTTGATTGCGTGAATAACCTTTGCAGATGATCCCAAACCTCTTTTGTTGTCTCATACTTCGCCAACTGCATACCTATCGAATGTTCAACAGAATTGTTGATCCAAGTAATGATCTTTGTATTATTTGCCTCCCATGTATCTATCAAAACAACATCCCTCTCCTCAATGTTTTTAGGTATCATATAAGTTCCACTAACATACCCCCACATCTTCTTACCTTTAAGAAAATTTCTCATTACATAGCTCTAATACGAATAGTTCTTCCCATCTAACCTCACACTTACAGACTGAAGCGAATCATTTCTTTCAGTAGCCATAATCAACAATCACAAAAAATTAGAATGCAAAAGCAGCGGAAAACCAAATACCAAATTGTAGAAACTAAACAGAAATTCAGAAACTAAACAAATATCTTCTCAAAACTATACGATTACTCCAAAAACACAAAACAAATTTGCAGAAATTGAACGCAAATACCAAATTGTAAAGGCTGAAGGGAAGACGAAATACCAAAATAATTGCAGAAACTGACGAAATACCAAATTTTGCAGAAGTGGAAGATAAAATCTCACTCCAAAAAATTTGTTCGGGATTAAGTCTCATTTCATAAAACCAGCTCTAATACCATGTTAAAATAATTAAGATCAAACACAAAAAGGAGGCTAGAATTCTGAATAATCTGTATATTATGAATGCTTAGACTTAACCTAAATACAAACAAAGTATTATAGATTAAACTAAAAGTACTATTCTACCCTTAATAAATAAGACTACATAAATATTATTTAACAATTATTACATATATTTGGTAGAAGTTCAGTGTTGTTTTAAGAAGTTCATTTCATTGCATTTTCAAAATCTGTAGTTCAGGCATCAAAAACTGCATAGTGGTATAAGCTCATCATATGCATGAAATGCATCATAAGTGATTTTGCACTTGATTT